TGCTCTTGGCTTCATGGCCACAGCTTCAGTCATCATGTGTATCCTAAAGACTTTCACATTTTTTTTCTCCAGCCCAATTCTCTCTTCTCTGCTCTAGACCTTCATAGCTAACTGTGTATGACTCTCCATCTATCCCAAATCTGATGTGTAGTCTTCCTATGTGTTCTTCACCTTAGTGGGTAGCACCACCATCCTGGTTTCTTAAGAAACCAGGATATCTCTTGATACGTTGCCCTCCCTTATTCATCCATTACCAATTCTATCCGTATTTCTAATTATTTCTCAGATCCATCCATTTTTCTCCATTCTGCTACTACCATGCTGGCCCAGTCTGTCATTTTCTCTGGCCTATAATACTGCTTTTGTACACTGTACCAGGGATAGTGTTTTCAAAATATTTATCTGATTATGTCATGCCCCCCCCACTTAAATCCCATCGCTTTTAGGATTAAGACATAAATCTTTAGAAGTATACAAAGCATTGCATATTCTGCTTCTCCTCTGCCTTTCCCAACTCATCTTCTACCTCTTTCCCCCTTGTGCTCTCTGCTGTGGGCTCCATTCAGTTCTCTGAACCTGAAATACTTCCTCCTGCCTCAGGACCTTTGTGCATGCTTCTCCATGTTCTAGAACTGTGCTGTGTAATGCTATACCCACTAGCCACATGTGGCAATTAAAATTAAAATCAAGAATTAATTTCTCAGTCCCACTAACTACCATTTTAAGTGCTCAATGTGACTTGTGGCTACTGTATTGGACAACAAAGATATAGAACGCTTCCATCTTTACACTAAATTCTACTGGACAACACTGTTCTAGAATATTCGTTGCCATCTCCTACACCCTTCCTCCTATGTGATTTCTTCAGGAAAGCCCTTGCTGGCCCCTTCCTTCAGTTCCTAGTAGTCAGTTTTCTTTGTATCTAAGTTTACCAGCAACTACCATGAACACACCTGTAATCAGAGTTACATTTATTTAGCCTGCTTCAGCAGGGGACCCTTAGGAACAACTCTGTAACACAGAGTTGGGAGGAGGTCTTCATAGAGTTTGGTATTATCCTGGAGAAGTGTAAGGAGGGATTAAGGAAGTGACAGCCAACTCTGGATTAGGTATGAGAAGACACTGAGGCAGTCTGGAAACTGGGTAACCATAGTTACCCAGGTAGTTTAGGAGATGAAATAAGCAAAGCAGGACTGAGGATGCCTCTGCTAAGAAAGCAACAGTCCCTCAGAAGGAAGATGTGTGATTCACTTTTGTAGCTGTGGTCCTGTCTTTGGGCTTCTGTCGGAAACAGCACTTACCCTCTGTTGGCCTTATCTGTGTGCCACCAGAACGTACACAAAGGCTGATTGTCAGGGGGACTGATTTTTACTCGCTCTGTCGTGCTGTGCTCTCCTAGAACTCTGTTGCTCTTCTCCAGAGTGCTTGCACCCAGTTTGTAATTTTTTGAATGAATAGTTTTTTGAATGAGTGTGTTTCCTCTAGTAGACCGGAAGCTTCATGCGAGCACAGACCTCTTCTCTTTTTGCTCACTTTGGTACCCATGGCGTTTAGCACACTGCCTGATATGGAGTAGATACTCAGTCTTTCCTGAAAGAGTGGATGAATGAATAAGACCCACGAAATTGGTGGCTGATCAAAGACACGGAGGCAGAAAATATCTGATTTTCTGCCAGTTAAAGAATCATTTGTCTTTTTGCAGTAGACTCTTAGGCAGATGTCTCCTTCCTCCCAGCTAAGAAAGAACAGTAGATTCTAACATTCAAAATTTACATATAACATTCTAACATCGCCTGATATCTCAAGTCCTTTCAGGGTCGTCTTTAAAATATATGTTACCATACCTCTTTACTCTCATTTTTCTCAGTCCAAATGATTAAGAAATGTATAGATGCCCACAGCAAATCTCAGTAGAGTATAGTGATGTTGGCTGTCTGCTTCCCTTTGGGCGTGCCACAAATTATATGAAAAGGTTTCCAAACAGTTGTGGGAACTTGGTACCTGTAACCAGAGTGACCCAAACATTTAGGGTATGACTTTCCATACCGAGTCATGTAGGGCTGCATGACCCATCAATGCGATCAGGTCTCATGAAGGACTGTGATGTTTTCCAGGTGGACCACACATTTAATGTTTTAATTATAACGACAATATAAAATACCTAAGGATAAAATTTTAAGCTTAGACATTTTGGTAACATGTTTACTATCTTTATTTTTTCGTAGTTCTTTATTAGGGTGCTTGATTGGGGTAAGATTCTCTATTTTAGTCAGCATGTAGTCTCTTTGAGTCTGTACAGTTGTAGCATATCACACCTTCTCACATCACCTGAGAGGTTAGAACCACAGAATTTATAAGTTTAATATGTTTAATTCTGTCCTCAGGCTTCAGAATTCTGTGGCATGAACAATAAATTCACTGAGGCCTGTGGTTACCAACACTGATGATTCAGTATTAGTTATGTTGTATTAGTGTTGTTATGGGTTCCTGCATATTCCTTCAAAGGAGACTTTGGAAATGCATTTCCTCCATCTCTTTTTCAAATGCCCTTTTCATCATGCTACCCTCTCAACTCCAAAATTTCCTAATTCTTAACTATACTAAGTATAAATTCTTTTTCATAGATCAGCCCTGGCCAATAGAACTTTCTACAGGGAAGGAAAATTTATTTATTTATTCTCTCCAATATGGTAGCCACAAGCCACCTATGGCAATTCAGTATTGAAAATATGGCCAGTTGCTTGAGAAACTAAATGTTTAACCTATATTTGTGGTCCTCCTTTTGTAATTATATCAGGCCGTGTCCTTGGCCCCATGCACACACCACATTTTGTACCATCATTTTGTCTTGAGTCACGTTGGTCTTCTCTCACCTGGATTACTTTTTCTCAATTTCTTTGGTTAATCTAGCTTCTCTTTAGCTTCCAAGGGTTAGAACAGTCTCCACAGTTTCCACGAAATCGTCCTTTAATCTGGCTGACCTTCCTCTCCTGGCAACGGCCATTTTGTGCTTCTCCAGCCAGGGTACCTGAAAAATGAATGAATGAATGGATGAATGAATGAATGGATGGATGACTCAAAATAGACTTTCACATTAGGTCATTTGTTCTACCATTTGTTGTTGTTGTTGTTGTTGTTGTTGTTGATGTGAATTTGTCCATCTCTCCAACCAACTTTCAGTAGAGCCCCAGAAAATTCCCACTGAATGCTTTGTTGATTGATTGATTGCTTGCTTGAATGCAAAAGAAATGCAAATCTGTATCTTTGATTCTTTTTTCACAATTATTGGACCAGTCAACAAGTTCCTAGGATGCACATGAGTAAACTTTGAAGGGCAAACCGTTTTCTTGGATCCAGGAAATTTATGAGACTGCATAGAAAGAAGCATCATGTGTATTTTACTTATAAACTGAGTTCTAGAGATGGTGGTTAAGGATCGTGAAGAAAGTTTGGAAAATAGCTGTGAGTAACTCTTTCCTGTGAAGAGTTTTGAGTTTTGAAATGTGGCCAACGAATGGAAGTTTATGGTCAAGAAAAGAGAGGCAGCAAAACTTGTTTTTTTGAAAGAGACACTGGAAAAAAGTCACATTGGGAGGTGCAGGTGTGTGTGGTCAACCAAGTGCTTTTTCATTCTGTTAGATTCACTACAGGATCAAGTTGGGGCATTTGCAAATCTACTTCTGGAAAGGTTTTAAAATGTGGGCAAGTGCTTCCTGCTTGCTCTAAATAACAACTGGATATCCCTGGATCTAAGCTTCTTCATGCATAATACCAGGACCTAGAGTTTCCCTCCAAAACGTACTCTTACAATATCGTGGTAATAAAGATCTTAGAGAAGGGCACTGAATATGGCCAAGTGATTACTATATAATAGAATTTAATACATATATATCGAGTTCACTGTGTACCAGGTACTGTACTTAGTACTTTACATCTATTAATACATTTATCCTTCTAATCACTGTAAGTAAGCATTTTGCAGATGGAGAAAATATGGCACTTACCTCAGTTTATATGGGTAGCATGTTAAAGAGTTAGAATTTGGGGTGCCTGGATGGCCTGGTCAGTTGAGCATCCGACTTCGGCTCAGGTCATGGTCACTTTACCTGCCCCTTCCCTGTTCAAGCCCCTCATTGTCTTTGTGCTGACAGCTCAGAGCCTGGAGTCTGCTTTGGATTCTGTGTGTCTCTCTCTCTCTGCATCTCCTCCCCCACTGCTCCCATCCCTTGCCTCTCTATGTCTCTCTTGAAAATAAACATTTAGAAACATTTTTACAAAAGAGTTAGAATTTGATGCTAGACAGTTTTGCTCCAGAAACTATGCTCCTAACCACTCTAAATATTGCCCTATGCTATTTATGCTGTGTGGCCTTTCTGTAATTAGTGTTCCATTAACTAAGAATTTGTGATTTTGAGGGGCACCTGGGTGGCTTAGTTGATTAAGCCTCCAACTTCAGCTCAGGTCATGATCTTGTGGTTTATAAGTTTGAGCCCTGCATTGGGCTCTGTGTTGACAGCTTGGAGCCTGGAGCCTGCTTCAGATGACTTCCTCTCTCTATACCTGCCTCTTCCCTATGTGTGCTCTGTCTCTGTCTCTGCCTCTGCCCTCTCCCTGCAACATAAATAAATAAATAACAACAAAAAAGAATTTGTGATTTTTGGATATCCATTGGCAATGATAGAAAATGGAAGAGATGTTTTTATATGAAACAGATTCCAGTACTTGCAGACACTTTTTGCAATGCCTAGGGATGTGTAAACAGTATACAAAGCATGAATACCCTTTCTGTCCAGCATAATTCTCAGTGTGCAGGTGATATGAGAATTCTGTGCACAAATGGTCACAATTTTCATTGTCCTTGAAAACACAATACTAAAAAATGTATTATTTTCCTTTGTGAAGTGAGGATAAAACAGATTGGACACATTTGTCACTTTTTGTTTCTTTTGCATGATGACTTACCTATTGGTTTTAATTTTGATGACTTTTAAATTTTGCAGAAATTCCGGAGTGCTTCCGTTGGGGCTGAGGAATACATGTATGACCAGGCATCCAGGTAGGCGACCGGGAGATGCCTCTAGAAACTGATGAACTGATAGGACTTTTAATGTATCCCCAAGTTATACTTTTGAACCTTTAAAAGAAAATTCTTTTCTCTATACAATGACTTCTAAATCGCCATCTTGACCTACATTCTGAGGTCTGTACCCTTTTTCTGTTCTTCTGTTGGTTAGATATGCCTTCTTAGATGATCCTCTAAAGCTCAGACACAGGGGCTCCAACAGCATGTGAATAAATGGAACTCTTTGTCTTTCTTTTCTTTTTTTCCCTTCCTTCCTTCTCCACTTCTTTCATTGGTCTGCTTTTATTTCCTATCATGGCGAATGATGTAACGATCCTCCAGCTACCCACTCTAGAGGTGTAAAGATATGCCTGACTTTCTTGCTACACTTTAATCATACTTGCCAAGTGCTGAATATTCTCTTCTACCTGTCCTGTCCCTTGCCAGGAACATGAACTCTTACTCATGTTCTGAACTATTAGAATCCATCTGAGCTTTCTGCCACCACTTTCTTTTCCCTTTTGTTCCACTTTGCACATATTAATCTACCAGCTCTCATACACTCTGGTGCCTTCCGTGTACAAGCCATGCGAGAGGGATGGGGATAAGATACAACCTCCCTTACAAGAGGCCTGTAGATTTGGAGGGGACAAACGTAGTGTTGGACAATTGTAATACAAATTGTAAGTGATGAGTCCTGCTACAGAGATACATAAACAGAAAGCTGAGAGGACCTATGGGCCTGTGTGTGTGATGGCAGTTGGGAGGGGTAGGGGTGGGACGAAGCTTGCAGGAAGGGGCATTTGAGCCACATCTTGAAGGACTGTCAGTAGGGGTTTTCCAGGGGTAGAAGGAGGATTAAGAACATTTTAGGTAGAGGGACCAGATGTTCAAAGACCTTGGTCGTGATCATGTCTGTAGATAGGAGAAAATGGCAAGAAATGGATTGATCTCTCCCATTTATAAAACGTATCAGGGGCGCGTGGGTTGTTCAGTCGATTGAGCGTCCAACTTCGGCTCAGGTCATGATCTCACGGTTCATGGATTCGAGCCCCCCGTCGGGCTCTGTGCTGAATGCTTGCTGAGAGCCCGGAGCCTATTTTGGATTCTGTGTCTCCTTCTCTCTCTGCCCCTCTTCTCTCTCTGCCCCTTCTCACACTCTGTCTCACTCTGTCTCTCAAAAATAAATAAATGTAAAAAATTTTTTTTTAAAAAAACACAACTTCTCACTGATTTCATCATTTCCAAGAGAATTAAACACAAGTTACTGATGAAGGTAGTCAGGGCCCTCTGCATACTGGCCCTTTACCTTACACCTTGTCCCCTACTCTATTGCTTGCCCGTTTGCTTTTCCATGTGTGGCTCTCTCTGTTCTCTCTGTTTCCACCTAAAGTCCTCCTGATCCTTCAGGATCTTGCTTTATCCTCAGGCTCCCCATTTGGTCTCCCCAGGTCGTCCAACTCAGAATTTGGGTGTGTGGTGTTCATAAGGGGGAGCGGTATGGTGGGGAAGATAAATTTCCAAATCATCTTCTAAAATGTGGAAATACATATATAATTTGCATGAAATAAACCCAGATCACCATGACAGATCAGCTGTCAGGCTGGTGACAAGAACATTGACCTATCATCAGTCACTTGACCTGTCTTCTCTTTCTGCTGCTGTCATTATCCTCGGGAGTGAGCAGGTTTCTGAGCCTGTCTTCAGCTGTGAAATGAGGAAGGTGTTTGGTTTTTTTTTTCCCCTTATGTTATGGATAGGCTTGGGGGGGGCATGAACTCCCCGAAATTATATTTAAAACTATTTCTGTTCATAAGTGCTCTTTTTCTGGAGAGAATTCACAGCTTTCTTCATTTTTTTTTTTTTTTTTAAAGAAATCTGTGCCCTAGACAAGTTGCAAACTGCTGGTCTAGGTGATTCTTAATATCCTGTCCAGGTCTCAAATTTTATGATTCAGTGGCTGTACTGAAATTGCTTTTTCTAAGCAAAATGACAGTGAAATTGGTTCTGTCTTGAATGATTTATTTCCTACCTAATTCTAAGACACATATTCTGGAATTTGCTTAGTTTATCAGTTTAAGCGTAAAGTTTTTATCGTGAAATGAGGAATATTGTTCTGCCCTTCAAATTTCTTTCTCCTTGCAAAAGTTACAAAAAATTGGACATTGCAGAAATGTTTAACATAGAAAGTAGGAGCCTTCATCATCTTGTAAGTAGATCATTTTAAGAGGTGAACTTTGAGACATTTTTTGCATCCAGCTTTAAAAAAAATTTTTTTTTATGTTTTATTTATTTCTGAGAGAGAGAGAGAAAGAGAGAGAGACAGTGTGAGCAGCGGAGGGTCAGAGAGAGGGAGACATAGAATCCAAAATTGGCTCCAGGCTCTGAGCTAGCTGTCAGCACAGAGCCTGACGCGGGGCTCAAACCCACCAACTGTGAGATCATGACCTGAGCCAAAGTCGGACGCTTAACCGACTGAGCCACCCAGGCGCCCCTGCATCAAAGACTACGGAATTAAAGAGCTAAGAAAATAGATAGGCCCAGTGAAAAGCGTTTGCTCATTAAAAAAATACACAAAGCTTTGGTTATTGGATTATCACTAAGGGCCATCCAGCAATGTAGGAAAATAAATATTTCTTTTTTTTTTTAATGTTTTATTTAATTTTGAGAGCAAGAGAGATAGAACATTAGCAGGGAGGGGGCAGAGAAAGAGAGAGAGAGACAAAGAATCTGAAGCAGTCTCTAGGCTCCGAGCTGTCAGGACAGAGCCTGACACAAGGTTTGAACTCACAGACTGTGAGATCATGACCTGAGTCGAAGTTAGATGCCCAACCGACTGAGTCACCCAGGCGCCACAGAAAATAAATATTTCTGAATGGACATCTTACACAAAAGAGATTGTGGTTCATGCCTGTTGTTTACTTTAAATAATTGATAAATTCTTCAAATTTGGGAAAACCGGTGTTTTTATTTTGTAAATTAAATAATGTTTTAAAGATATTAGGGAAATTATGTAGAGCAGGGATCTGCAAACTTTTTCTGCAATGGGTTAGCTAGTAAATATTTTAGATCTGGTACACCATATGTCACAACTACTAAACCCTGCTGTTGTAGTGTGAAAGTAGCCATAGACAAGACATAAGTGAACAAACATAGACGTGTTCCAATAAAACTTTATTTACAATAATAGGCAGTGAGCTAGATTCGGCCAAGGGACCATTGTTTGCAAACTCCTGATTTATAGCAGTCACCCTTTCATGAGTTCTTTTGCAGTCTTAAAAACAAACAAAAAACAAAAATAAAAATCCCAATTTCTGTTATGGAACTAGATTCTCAATAGTGCATGTTTGAGTTTTATTTAGATTTTCACATTTTGAAATGTTTTCAAGTGGGATATAGCTATTTTGCAGCATCTTGGTTGTACAAAAAGAGGGCTGGGTATAGGTATGAATTAAACAAAAGCTGTCACACATTTGGCTTGTTGCTGGGATAAAAGCGGCAAATTCTATCAATTCTTAAGCTTCAGGCATTGCCATCCACGACCTAACAGATTCTCCTGGCAGAGCCTTATGTAATTGGACAGGCACCTCATGGCCTTTTCTCCCCTTCTAAACCACCTGGTTTATGAGCCACTATTAGAAATGCTGTATACATTATATTAGCAGTGACCTTCGGTCTGGTCTCATCTCTTTTGCCATATGCTATGTTTTGTCTCTAAAATAGAGTAAATATTGGTTAATATTCCTACAGAATGCTGTCAATGTGAAATTGATTAGGAAGGCAGAAGTGTCCAAGTGAGTGACTCTGACCATTGTTTGTTTTCTGTTCACAGTGGCACATTTCAGTACACCCTGGAAGCCACCAAATCTCTGCGTCAGAAGCAGGGGGAGGGCCCCATGACCTACCTCAACAAGGGACAGTTCTATGCCATAACGCTCAGCGAGACTGGAGACAATAAATGCTTCCGACACCCAATCAGCAAAGTTAGGGTATGAACCTCATTTCTCAAACAAAGCACAGAGGGGTCAGATGAAGGGAATGACTACCTCACAGTCTTGTGGAAGGGCGTGGACAAAATTCCAAAATAAATAATTCTAGAACAAATGTCAGAGAGTTGGAGCAGGAGAGAACTTACTGGCTTACAGTTTATCATTTTAATCAGTAACCAATAAACCCCAGGGAGGGACATGGTTGGGACATGCTTTCTGACTGTATCCCAGGAATTTTCCCAGCTTCCTTCATTACCTTTATGCTACTTAGTTGTTGTTCTTGTGTTCAATCAATTGATCTTAATTTTTCAAGCAAGCAGCTGTAAGTCAGACCTGATTTGTGGACAAAGAAAGAGCCGCGTCTGTCTTCTTTAAGGGAGGCTGCAATTTATTGTGTGTCCCTGGTCCCTTTGCAACTTGCTTACAAAGCCCTTCTGCAGCCCAGTGCTTACTTAGGAGTAAAGTGAGGCATGATACGATCCCTGCCAGGAGTGACTTGGAGATTTCACATTCACGAGTATTAGTTCTGTTTGTGGGAAATGGAGCTGTGCCGGAAGCCTACCAGTTTCTGGCATTCACGCCACTGCCAAGAAGGGAGGAAACTGGTAATCCTTTTCAGTAGAAGAGCTCTCTGAAAATCATACCAGAGCTGTCTGAAAAGAGGTTGAAGGACTTTCCTGCCCTATTGTAAAATGATTTATTTTACATGCTGTGTGCATAGTGCCCATCCCATCTTACTTTATCCATAGCTCCCGGCTCCTAAGCTCTTTAGTACATTGGGAAGAATGCCACGCTGTGCCTAGAACGTAGTGAGTTTGCCCCCATCCCAGACGCCCATGTGGCATCTCTACCATGAGGTAGAAGAGAAAGAAGAGTATTTGGGCACCTGCTTTCGAGCTTGTCTGTTACTAGCTTTAGGTCAAATCCTTGCAGTGGCAATCTCTGAGTCATCTGGGTTTTGTGGCTTTGTTTCAGTGAGAAAGATAAGGAAGGATTGCTGCTCATTTCTCATTCCAGCAGTTCTTCTTCCCTCCAGGCCTGTCCCAGGCCCAGATCAGAGGTGCAGGAGGCAGGGCAGCTGGGAGTGAGAGGAAGATGTGGAACGAATGTGCCATCCAAGGCTGAGCTCGTTGTAGGTGGAAAGGTGCCTGGTGTGTCGTGTGCCTGTAAGGGGGCTTGCTATGTTCCTACCCTGTGGTCAAGGCTGTGGTGGAGGGATGCTTCCTCCTCCTCCTCATAATCATTGTAATGGTGGAGGGAAATAATATTATTAGTGACAGCAACAACAATGGCAGAGGGGTACCATAATAATAACAACCAGTGCCAGAATATCACAACTACTATTTATTGGGTGGATCTTCTACGTGCCAGGCACTGTGTTAAGTACCATAAATCTAGCAATTCACTTGAAATTAACAACAACCCTATGATATAGGCACTATTTTGTAATCTTACAGATGAGGAAACTTGGCCTTTTAGAGAGACTAGGAACTGGCCAAGGTTACACAGCTAAACTGTGAGGGAACCAGGACATATCCCAGGCAGTCAGATTCCTGAGCTCATTCTCTTAGCCACTAAGGTACATCAGATTGAGTCACATGGAGGGCCAAAAGCCAGAGGCATTTTAGCCTGGGACCCACCTCTGGGTATATATGCTAACCTTCACACCGTACACCCCCACATGTGGATGCCTGGTAAGAAGACTCTGGATACATTTGCTTTTTAAAACACAGTCTTGTAAATTACCAGCACGTGTATAACTCTCTTAGATTGTATAACTCTATAACCAGTACGTATGTACACCCTCTTAACAATACCATTACCCATCACCCTGAAAAGATTGTGGATGGTTCACATTCTAAGTCCATGACTGTTTAGTGTTGAGTATAGACACTCTTCAAGAATTTTACTTCATTGAAATGGTGGAAATAACTTAACATTTAATTTATTTCCATCTGTTTCATTTTGGCTAAGAAGAGCCCTGCTTTCTTAAGAACTTCAGTCTAATACCCTTGGAGAGCTAGAATGGTGCCTTTCAGAAGGATCTTTCTTACTCCTCAGCTCTGGGAGAGCAAGCAATCTGGAGGAAAAGAGGGATGCACTTGGAACCCACCAGCATTAATTTTGGGGTTTTTTTTGTTTGTTTGTTTTATTTTATTTTTTATAGTTTATTTTTATTTTTGAGACAGAGAGACAGAGCATAGCAAGGGAGGGGCAGAGAGAGAGGGAGACACAGAATCTGAAACAGGCTCCAGGCTCTGAGCTGCCAGCACAGAACCCAATGAGGGGCTTGAGCCCATGAACCGCGAGATCATGACCTGAGCCAAAGTCGGACACTCAACCGACTGAGCCACCCAGGTGCCCCCCACCAGCATTAATTTTGGAGAACAGTGTTTCATTCTGAATTGAAGCATGTGTGCTTGGTAATAGCATTTTCAAACTACCTTTCTCTTTATCACTGAAGAAATAAATTTCCAGACCAAGAATATGCCATTATTTAGGCTAATGTAGTCATTTGGTAGAAAAGAAAATTACCTGCTATTTTTATCTTGGAACAGAAAGAAATAAACACAAGGAGACCACTCAGTGAATGAACTTTTACACATACAGCAGTCCTTGCCCCCTATGTGTAGAGGATACATTGTAGGTCCCCCCCCACTTGGTGGATGCCTGAAACCATGGATAGTACAGAGCCATATATATACAGTGGTTTTTCCTCTATGTGCATACTTATGATAAAGTTTAATTTATAAATTAGTACAGTAAGATATTAACAGCAATAACTAATATTAAAATAGAACAGTTATGACAATATACTGTCATAAAAATTATGTGAATGTAGTATCTCTGTCTCTAAATATCTCACTGTACTGTGCTCACCCTTCTCCTGATGATGGGAGATGATAAAATAGCTCCATGATAAGATGAAGTGACATGAATGATCTGGGCATTGTGACCATAACGTTACACTACTAGACACTCTTCTACTTCTAGATTGTGGGTGACCAATTGTGGGTAGCCAAAGCCATGAATAAGGAGGACTATAGTAAATTTTTTTTTACACTTATTTATTTTTGAGAGACAGAGTGAGACAGAGCATGAGCGGAGGGGAGAGGCAGAGAGAGAGGGAGGCATAGAATCTGAAACAGGCTCCAGGCTCTGAGCAAGCGTTCAGCACAGAGCCTGATGCAGGGCTTGAGCCCACGAACTGTGAGATCATGAACTGAGCTGAAGTCGGACGCTTAACCGACTGAGCCACCCCGGCGCCCCATGGAGGACTATTGTGAATGGCAAAGTTTCAGGAAGTGGAAGAGAGATTCAGGAAGTGGGAGAGAGAAGAATGAAGCCTTGTGGCTCTTAGTCCCACTAGAATAGCCAGTGCTGCCCCTTGTCAGCTCTCCACACCTTTGAGGGTCATGCTGCTTGCAAATCCTAATAATATGGATATTTCTGAACTAGTCTTCCTAACAGACATCTGTTTTGTCATGTAACCAATGTTCACACACACTTTGGAATCAGCCCGATTCTGAGTTGACAGTAGAGCCGCAAGCATGTATTGTGTATCTCTTATTTGCCAGACACCAGGATCGCTGTCCTTGTCCTCTTTGACTTTGAAGCCAATGGGCCATTGACGGAATAGTTATAAGTAATTAATGAAATGACTACAAGTGTGCAAAATACTACAAGGGAGAAGTTATTAAGGAATGAGAATCAATGAAATATTCTGCAATAGTAGGAAAATGCCCAAGAATTATTTTGGTTATGGAATGAGAAGAGCTCCAGTATTTCTGATACTGTAGTTAAAGGGACTTGGGGGCTTTGGTTTGTGTTGGTAAAGGTCTCACCTTATAAGTGGCAGTGAATTGATGTACATTTGTTAAATGAAGATTTCTATCATTTAGAACTCAAGGGGGTTTTGGCTTCTTATTTCTACAAGATATAATTAGTTTTCCAAGAAAATACGTCCAAATTGTGTTGAAATAAATTAAATAGTTGACCCCGTATCCTTTGGTCTGTGAAATATCTGTAGCTTAGATCCATGCTCATCACTCTGAACTCATCTTGTAGTATTTCTTTCATTACCTTAGTATTTCTCTCATTACTCCAGTATTCCCGCCTGAGGCACTTAATTAGGCTAGAAACAGATGCTTGCTTCATTATAAATGGCACCAAATTCTGTTTACGAATACAAAATTTCAAAAATGTGTTTGTTTTCAGTACCAAAAAGTTGTTTTGGTATCCCCACTCACTTGGCGAAACAATAAATGTGCTGTTCATTGGTTAATTTGTTTGTTTATGATTCATGGTAAAAATGAGACAGGGTTCTTTTTTTTTGTATGTACAGCTCTCGTTTCCCAGTCACTTTTTAAGGAGGACCATTTTTAAACAAACTGACCCATACAGCCGAGCTTGTCCGGGTTTCGTGAAGTGAGGAAAGTACCCCTATAGAGGCACCCCTATAGGCTCCCTCGGGTGGGAGAGCCAGAACTGGGGGCTGAGGCCTCCGAGTCACTGAGCAGAAAGTAAGACCGTGATTCTCCCCTCTGCAGAGCGTGGTAATGGTGGTCTTCAGTGAAGACAAAAACCGAGATGAGCAGCTGAAATACTGGAAATACTGGCACTCTCGGCAGCATACGGCGAAGCAGAGGGTCCTTGACATTGGTAAGTTGACCTTGACCTCCCTGTGTGGTCTTTGGTAAACCGTCGTGTTGCCATGATGCCAAGGAGAGCCTGGCTGGGACCCATGTTGCTCTTAGGAAGAAATGCCAGGCACGAGTCTGTGCTCTTTTCCTTTGTTAGTACATTTGGTGCAAATCAGGCTGAGAAATCAAAACCAGGGGAAGCTGAGTGCAAAGCATTTTGTGTTCTGTGGAAGTCAGCTGTGCCTCATATACTAATAGTCATACATTTGGATTTGCAAGGACTATGTCAGTTTCTAAAACATATTTCCGTGCCCTCCTGTATTTGGGCCTAACGACCAGTCAGGCTGACCAAATGAACTGTTGTGCCTTTGTGACATGAATAACCTCAGGCTCATTTGACTATAAGGTACCTGGGAAGGTCACACGGCTGGAAAGTGAGTTCTGGTTCTCTAATTCTCCATCTAGTGTTCCTTCAGCTCCAACATGTGACTGGTGCTGATAGTACTAGGTGGGGTCTGGCAAATGAAACCTTTGAGAGAGCTTTTCCAGCAGTAAAGGAGGAACAGATTTGCCAAGTGTATTTTCTGGAGTTTGTGTATTCTTTTTTCATTTTAATGTTTATTTATTTATTCTGAGAAAGAGAGAGAGAGAGCAGGGCGGGGGCACAGCGAGAAAGAGGGAGGGAGAGAGAGAGAATCCTAAGCAGGCTCTGCACTGTTAGCCCAGAGCCCGATGTGGGGTTGATCTCATGAACCGCGAGATCATGACCTGAGTCGAAATCAAGAGTCAAACACTTAACCGACTGAGCCACCCAGGTGCCCCTGAAATTGGTGTATTCTTAAATGCGATGTCTGTTCTCTAGAGATGGGTCGTCCCCTGGGTGGGACTCAGGGTTCAGCCAGGAAAGCAGAGTCCATGCCAAATGGTCCTATGGAGGGAATTTGTTGCACACATTGGGAAGGCTGAAGACACTGGGAGGCGTGCCAGAGATGAGCGACAGCAGGAGTCTGCCGCTGTTCCCTCTAGGGCTGGAGGATCAAATGAGGAGGTGGTGGGTGTCGGTGGAAGTACCCAGCAAGAGCTGGGACCATAGTAGGGCTGCCTCAGCCGGAGCCAATGCCACGGAGGGAGCGCCATTGCAAGAGGAGGAAGAACCACAGAGGAGGCGCTGCCAGACACACTTCTTTAAAGAATGCCAAGAGGGAGGAGGGGGCAGAATGCCCTGCCTTCCCCTGTCACGTTGTCTCCCACCGGTGCTTCCCAAGGGCCACATTTACCCTGAAGCCATTGGGTACATCCCGGCAAATGCAGTTTGCAGGAATCGACGTCTGGGATACACTGTAAGACGGGGAAGTCAGGGATTGGATCTTAAAGTTTCTAGAGATTACTTAAATACACAAACAGTAATATATGTGTTTCTAAGTAATTTTAATGCTGTATGTGCTGCTTTTATAAGAAATAAGTAATTTCTCATCTGGGGGCTTTCTTCTTGCATTTTGCAGAAAAGAGGATGCAGTCACGGTGAGTGTAGGCAAAATGAAGGTTGGGTACCAGAAGGTATCACTGAACCATTGAAAGGTATAAATGAGCCATTGCTTTGATTTCTTACACACTGCAGTGATGGATTTTTTTAGACCTTCCATCTCACCCTTGCTAAGGTCCCATGGCCAGTGGCAGAGAGCTTAGTGACTAGGTTAGGCTTAGAGACTCACAATAGAACATATGGAACTACTTGCTGGTTTAGCCTACACAGTGGTGACCTTCCCCCCCCCCCCCACCCCCCAGTGCACGCCAGCATGGCCACATGGACATCCACACACATCTGCCTCCTATTAGCTAGTCAAACGCATTTATAAATGCTTAATAATAAATCATACACATAATAATAATAAATTTAATAAATGAGGAAACTGAGCCCAGTGAGGCCCACTGGCCCACTTTTCCAAGTGACTTCTCAGATAATTCGTGCAGGAGCTAGGAGGGGACAGTCCTCTTCACCCAGCTCCTAGACAGAAACTCCAAGATTGAGTGAGTAGGACAAGGGGTTTGGAGATACTTGCCTTAACCTGCTTTTGTAGCCCATCTACATAGAACAGAGGAACAATTTTAGTTTATTTGAAAAGTTAGCCTTATAATTATTACCCAAGAAAATGAGAGGAGCAATTAAATAGAAATATGGACCAGGTCCAAATAAGGCAAATAATAAAAGCATTTTACTGGTTTACCTGCTGGTTCAACTTTGATAATGTTGCAAGGTTTACTTTTCTTAGACCAGGATGATGTCTCGGCTCTCCGAGGACTTCTGATCTTATCTCTTATCAGCTCTTGCCCTGCCTTCAGACTTTCCTCCCTTTACACACGCATGGGCACACACATGATTTATCTTTTAGATTTATGACTTTTACTAAGAAGCTTCGTGCCTTTCTTGGGCCCCTTGCTCTGAACCTGAACTTGAGGGGTATCAAATCAGCCCCTTAGCTTCAAATGGATTTTTCTCACCACAACCTCAACCTCACAGCTACTCCCATCGGATGAGGAAATAAGGAAATATGCAAAAAAATCTTATATAATTCTTTCTTTTACTAGATTAAAAAAAATCAAACCATGCACTCCTCTGCCAGTGGATGGTTAACACCCTCTCCAGTGTAAAGGGGGAGCTGATCATATCTGTGTGTGGTACACCACTGTCAGTGGGAGCTCTGGAGTGTGGTGCTGAGCACGTTGTGAACGGTCCACCTTGGTACCACCAGGGGAGTGAGCAATGCCTGCTGAGGGTGAGGGGAGGCTGAAGAGTGCACATGCCATGTACTTACCAGCTTGGGTCGAGAACCTTCTAGTAGCCTAAAGAAGAAAAAGAAGAATCCAGCATTTAAAAATGTTTTACTTTGTTTCACCTCCACAAAGCTGGAGGGTCAACGGGGCCCTCTGGGTAGTGACCTTGAAGCTGGAGTTCGAAACTGAGATGAGGCCTCTTTGGCTAAAGCAGAGATTCATACCCTGTGGTCTTCAGAGTCTGTGGGTGGACATAGGGGAACCTCAAACTCCTTAAATGCAATTTTGTGTGTAGAGGCGTCCATAGTCTTTCATCTCATTTTTCTGGAGGTTCTCGGGGTAATGAGCCATCTTCCAGCTCTCTGCCTCTCTACCTCCACTCCAAGCAAAGCCCACTTCTGTATCTCCTCACTCCTCACCCCCTCGGCACTCATGCACAAGGATTTCTCTCTTGTCTCTTGTGCCCTTTAGTGATGGCTGGCAGACTTTCTACATCCCTCCTGACGCACATTCATCTCACTTGGATTAGAATGTTGGTGGCTCTTTGAGGCTGCTCCTCTTCCCCCTGTACTTCTGGTTCTCTGAGTAGCCCCTCAGTGCTGGTCACCTGATGGGGAGAGGACTCTCAGTGTCCCCGTTGGAGTCCTTCCTGTGGGCCCGTGCAAAGGACAGTGGGATCCTGAGGGCCCAGGGTGCAGGGAATGAGGCTATTCCTCCAAGCACATGCTGCCTTGGCTCCCAGGGTCCCTGTGTCCTGATTGGGGTCCCTAGTGCAGCTGCACCTGCATCACACCAGGCATGGCCCTTGTTGGGCAGGTACTTGCCTGGTACATGGTTTGTTCCCACACTTTTGCAAGTCTTTGCCTGTTGTCACCTTATCAAAGGGACCTTCTCTGTCACATTACTTAAACGGCATACCTTCATCGCTCTCCAGCCCTTTTACCTGTATTTTACTGCAGTGTTGATCATGCTATTTATGTATATACTTTTTTTTTTTTAATTCTTAAAGTTTTATTTATTTCTGAGAGAGAGACAGTGTGAGCAAGGGAGGGTCAGAGAGAGGGAGACACAGAATCCAAAACAGGCTCCAGGCTCTGAGCTAGCTGTCAGCACAGAGCCCGATGCAGGGCCCGAACCCACGAACTGTGAGATCATGACCTGAGCCGAAGTCGGACGCTTAACCGACTGAGCCACCCAGGCGCCCCTATGTTTCTGTTTCTTATTGTGTCCCACTTCTACTAGAAGGTAAAGCCCCTGAGGTCAGACACTCGTCCGTTTCAGCACAGGGCCGGAGACATAGTGAGTCCTCAATAAATGAATGAATGAGTGAGTGAATGAACGAATAAATAAAGAAATGTGTGGATAAAACTCTTATTACACTGACAGAAGGCAGGCCTCTGGAAGGACTGAACTGTGTCTGAATTATATCTTCCATGTGTTCTGTGTCTTCTGTGTACCAGGATCTTTCATATAGAAACATTTTGTCCTTCAGTCCCCCAAACAACTCTAAAAACTGATGTAGTGAATGGCTAAGAATTTTGCCCAAGGTCATGTACCTGATAAGTGGTGTAGGTGAGGTGGAAACTCAAGAATGCTTAAGTTTGCACCTCTTGTTTTTTTTTTTTTTTTTTAACTACTCTCTGTCCTCGCTCTGCTGTATATCGTCTTTGTATCTCAACACCTAGGTAGTTCTTGGCCCCACCAGGCCCCGATTACTTGTAGATTGACTGCAGACATCCATTACCTGACCTTGCTGATGCCCTCTCTAAACCTTCCTCTCCGGACGTTGAGAATGTTTGGAAGTGGGACTTTTTGGCTGCTGCTAATTCTGACATTTCTGAAGGCCAGTTCAGATATGTGGTTCTTGTATATTAGGCCATAAACGATCTTGTGCGGGGTGAGGGGAAGGAAACATCAGCAATTAGTTCTTACTTGATAAAAGTAAAACAAACACACAGACTTTACCCCAAGTGGCTCTTGCTCCTTTCCAAAGCACATGAGCAGAGTCCTCCAAGCCTCACAAGTTCTTTCTTGTGAGCTCGTTGAATAACAATTATTCCAGGTCATAAATGAGTTTACATTCTGCAGCCCAAGGAGCTTTTCTGTGCCAGTTAGACCTGAGATCTCCTGTATGGAAGCAGCGCTTGGATTGTTTTCTGTTGTTTGTTTATCTCTGATTGTGAACATCCCTTTGTGATATGAGTTAGTGCCGGTCCCATGTTAGTTCCCACCGGCTTGCAGAAAGGC